GGTTCAAACCCACCAGCCACTCCCTGGAAGGAAGACTGGACAATCTACTTCCATAGAAATACTGCCTCAGAAACCCAAGGAGGGGTCACTATGAGTCGGAATTAACTCGACAGCAGTGACTTTGGCTTTGAGACCCAAGCCATAGTATTTTCAATAGCCTCATATGCATTTGAAAGCTGTACAATGAATAAAGAATACCACAGAAGAATTGATGCATTTGAATTGTGGTGTTGTCAAAGAATACTGAAAATACCATGGACTGCCAGAAGAACATATAAACTGTCTTGGAAGAAGTACAGCCACAATGCTTCTTAGAAGCAAGAATGGCTAGATTTCACCTCTTGTACTTTGGTCATGTTATCAGAAGGGACCAGTCCCTGGCAAAGAATATCATGCTTGTAACAGTGGAGAGTCATTGAAAAAGAGAAAAACCCTCAACGAGATGGATTGACAGAAGCTGCAATAATGTGCTCGATCATATGAACAATTGTGAGGATGTCACAGAAACTGGCAGTGTTTCTTTCTGTTGTACATATGGTTGCTATTAGTCAGATCCTACTTGACAGCACTTAACAACAACAATTGAATAAAAATTACATTTCAAACTAAAACAAAACAAAAATGGTTGTCATGGAGAAAATTCCACCTCATGGTGACTAACCTAATTTCAGAATGAAGCCATCTCTCCCACTCTCAGACTCAATCCTGCCAGGAATGGCGCATTCTCCTTCCCATTCAGCCTTGCCTCCTCAGCCCCATTTAGAAAGTCCTCATCAAGCATCAAGAGCATGGTCATTAGATTATAAAGTCCTTGTATCAATGAGTTATAAAATCTTTTAATTACATTTTCCCCACTTCCCAACTGGAACGTCAAAAAATCCACATGAATCCCCTATAGTTTGCAGCCAGAAACATTGTGGGGAATGTTTCTTAGGTTTTCCTACTCCTCTCTTTGTAAATTTTCACAGTGCAGATTACGTCATAGGGTCAGTGATGCAGCTACCATATTCTTCTCTGATTGTCCTTAAGCCAATTAGGAACTCAGATCTTGGATCCATACTGTGTGCCCAGTGTACTGTGATAGATTCTCATGTCTCTGTTCCCTAGTCCTAGGGAACACAGAAGCATTATGTGTTTGACTTGCCAACCACTGATGCTACTAAAGTACCTTGGGATAATAAATCACAGCTGAGATGGAACAGCACTCTAAAGAGATCAGGCTTCTTTCCCAGACAGAGAATTGCATCAGAATAACGAATAGAATATTACGTTAAGCCACACAGGAAAAGCTTGTTCCAAACCTAAAGACGCCTTACTCCAAATCATGAAGAATAAGCTCTGATCATTAAATCAAGAAGCCATACCTTTGCCCACAGTACTTATTTGGAATTTAGAAAAAGAGATGATGTCAGTGTTGAGGACAACCAGGGCTGGGAGGAACCTAAACCTCCAAAGCAACACAAACTTCCCTCTCTCAGCTGAGAGGTTTTCTTTTCTTTTCTTTT